TATGGAATTGAGTGCTTACACCCACAATGTCTCAACTCCTTCTGCCCTTCATTGTCTGCAGCCAGTTATGGGAAGGCAGTTACCCTTAAAAGTTCTTATAGTTCCTAAAGTAGAAATGAAACTACCCTAAAATTTCCACTATATTCCCAGCCTCTGTCCTTACAAAAGAAATTAAATAAAACTAAATGATTTTAAATATAATGATCTTGAGATAGAACTAGCACACACACACAGAGGTATGTGTGTGTGTTTGTATATATATACATATAAATACTTGTCTAAGAAATATACTGTAGTACAGTGATAAAAATAATATACTAAAATGTTTTACTGATGAAAGTATACAGGTTAAAAAATATATAGTTAAGTACTCAGATACTTACCAATGTAATTTCCTTTTTTTCGTTGACAAAGTATGGCTTGTTGTCTTATTCTAGGAGATTACATGTTGCTTGAAGTTAAAGTGTTACGGTCATCAGCTGTAGTTATGGGAACATATCTTGCAATGCTTCATATATTTTAACATTTCTCTAACCAATATTTCTTGTATTTTATACATCCACATAACATGTTGCTCACTTATGAAACTTTTTTATTCTGGTTTATGAGTTAATTCTTCAGTTAGGGTGATACACCTATCAATTGAAATTTTATCCTCTTCATTTATCACTTCCTCCTCATCATTATCACTGTCATGACTTCATGCATCACCATGTCAACAATTTTTACTGTCTGTGAGAACAACTAGAGCATCATTATCTACATTTAAACATTCTTTGACTGCTTCTTCATCTATCAATTTAGCTTTGTCACATGTTAGGCCTTTAGCACATTTCAACAAGTTATTCACAGTTTATTTTTCTTGAGAAACATAAAAACCACTGAAACCTACAATAATGTCATCTTCATTGTCTAAAAATAGCATAGAAAGTACTATCCCATGCCTTTTTAGCAGTCCATATTAAATTTGTTTTGGAATGTCTTAATTCCCATGCCATTGTTGCATGCATTAAGTATTTTACACATAGGTTGTATTGGGGATATACAATTAGGAGGCAAGTATATTGCAAAAACATTGTCTTTGATGTGTAGTTCTACAGCTGGATGAGCATGCTTTTTTATTGGCCTTATAATGTATGGGAAAAAAGCTTGATCCCATTAAAGGCCTTTGGCTGTTGACTCTTTCCAGTTATTAACAATATACATTTGTGTGTACCAGATGCATTAGCACAAGCGAGGATGGTAAATCCTTTTTTAGAGTATTTGAAACCTTCTGGTACTGTCTGCTGTTACTTAGGTTTTCCTGGGAATATACCACCAAAGTAATGACATCTCATCTGCATTATTCACATGGTCTGGGATTAATTCTTCATCTAAAATTATTTTTGCTAAATCTGCCATAAATGCCTCAGTGGCTTCATTGTTGGCTGATGCTTTTTCAGCACACACCTACAGCAAATGTGGGCTATGACATTTCTTAAACGTTTTTGTACCATCTGGATGAATACTCACACGGAGTAGTAAGGCCTAATTCCTTTGGAAATGACTTTGCTTATGCAATGATAACAGTACAATCCAATGGAAACTTTTAACTTCGGTGCTGATCCACTCTAATAACATTTTATCCAAGTCAGCTGCCTTTGAATGATGCCATGTTTTCCTGTTATCAATCAAACATGGCACATCACTGTTAGCTTAAGTCTTAATTCATTTTTGGACAACAAACCTAGTAAGAAATATTTAACATTAATGAAGACTTGTTTTTGAGAGCAAAAGTCTTCAATCCTGAATTAAGTGCTAAATTTCTAATTTTTGATGAATGTTTTTTATTTACTGATGTATGTTTTTAAACGAAAGTAACTAAAGTGTAAACATTAAAAACTTTATTAGGTTATATAAAAACTTAAATTAAAAAATAAATAAATAGAAAACATTTTTGTCTTTAATAATGCATGAGGAACATGTATAATTAGATGTCACACGATGGAAACTGAAATTTTGTTTACCATAACTCTCTGCATTCTCGTTTGGTGATGTATTGTTAGTTGAGGTAGTTAGAAATGGTTCAGAGCAATAAATAGCTATGTAAACTGTTACAAGCCTGAGGCTGCTTAGGATAAGTAATTGTAATTTTCTGTTACAATTTGTAGTCATTATAGAAAGAAAAAAATGATAATATAGATTTATTTGGTATTATTTTGTGGTGGTTACAAGGTTGGTCAAATGGACCGAGCCCATATAGCATTATGGTATAGAAAATAACAGATTAAATGAAAAAAATTTGATATTCAGTTAGGAGGTTCTATAGGTTATGAAAACTAAATTTTGAAAACTATAAGATAAAAAAAAGTGGGTTTTATTCTTAACATGAAAATCCCTTTGCACTCAGACTAGTCAGAGAATTAGACCCAAATAAAGGAAATTCAGAGGCAGATATTTAGTAGAAATACTTTAGTGGAAATATTACACAACAAGGAAGCAGATGGGCTTTTTAAATATTAATTTCTCCATCAAAAATGCATTTTTAAGCCCTTCTCTTAACATAGATGAATGAATTTGTTACAAGGATTTTTCTGTGTAAAAATATGAATATGTGGGATATAGGTGGTTATAAGTGCTTTAGGACATGAGAAATTATTTCTGTATTTCTAAGTTTTGTACATGCACAGTGAATTCTCAAACATTATTTTTGTTTATAAAGCCACTCGCTCTGAAATTCTTCATATTCTTTTTTTTTAGATAAGAGATCTCCAACTGGGTTCTAACATTCCAGTAATAAAAAATATCACAGTGAACAAAATACAACTTCATGAATTAAAGAAAACAATAGAGGTGAGTGCAGATGTGTATTTTGTAGAAATCATGATTGTTTAATACTTTAATGAGTGTTGTTCTGCAAGTTTGAGAAGAAAAACTTGGATAAAAATGAAAGAGTAAATTGACACATGTAAATCAAAACTTTTTCTGTTTTTTTGTATTGTATAATGTTTTGTTCAGACCTTCTTCATCAGACAGTAAAGTCTGTGTTACAATGTCTTTCTGAGCCTAAGTTCAGTAATATCTTTACTGCCTGATGTTGGGCATTTGCCTGAGATGCTGCACAAAGTTAAAATAAAGTTATCCATAATTGTTTACTAACCACAAGTGTTGTATTTACATTTGTCTTGTTTGTGTACTCATTCAGATGTTTTTTTAAAACTAAGTGAATCAGCCAGATTGCTACTAAAAATAATGTAATTAAGGAAGTTCAGACTTGTGGTTATAAACTGACACAGTTAATAGTTAATTGAGCATTTTATGCTGGTATAATCTCAATTAAAATGCTTTTCACTAGGGGTGTATAGTTTCATCAGTATATCAGTATATTGTTGTTTGCACCCCAGCAGTACATTTTCTTGGAACTGGTTTTTATGGCATTTTTACAGCTTGCAGTTTGAGAATTCCCATACTTTCAGTACAAGAAAATTAAAGAATAAATTTCAAAATTTTTTCAGAACATTTTCATGAATTTCAAGAAATATATCACAATTCTGTTAGATTTTCAAGCATGAACCTTCATGTTTCCAAGAGTAAATGAAAAAGTCAAGACTTTTCCAGGGGTAGGGTGAAATTCCAGGATATTCCAGGATATGTGTAAACCCTGTAGAGCTCTAAACAGAACTAAGCCCAAACATGTCAAATTAAGCAACTCCACACTGTGGGAAGAGATTACAAGACAATTTGTAACTTGTGCTTAAGTTGGAAAGAAAGTACATAGCTAGATGATTCAAATACTTTTTCTGGAAAATCATTTATTCATTGAGAGTAGGAAAATGTTATATATATAATGAGCTTGAATTCATATCAAAACCTAGGAGAGTGAACAGTTAGAAAATCACTTGTTGAAGAATTTTTATAGAAAACATAATGCTAAATGTATGATGACAAATGTATTGCAAATAAGCCATTTATACTATTGTGTTTGTAGTTTTAAATACAGTGTTGTAGTTATTGATCTCCAGCCTCTCCTACGTTAGATGCTTTACAGTCAAATGTTCATTGATATCTAATTCCAGTGTGAAGGGTTTAATTGATGTTTTTTTTAAAACCATACACACACTTTCAGGTCTGGTGCAATTTTTGTAAGTTGTCTGAGTTTTAGATAGTGATATGTTACCATTATGATCTTTCATCATAGTGAATGGAATACACGTCATAAATCTCATTTTTCATTACCTGAATGAGTCTCTCTATCGATCGATATACACACACATAGCATGTTCAATGCATGCAACACAAATCAAAGTGCTGTTAAGCAGAACAGTAGGCTTACTTATAACCTGACCTCACAAAGCCTGAATACTGTATGTGGTTGAACTGAGATGTTAATAAATACAATGCAAGATGCACTTTGTGCACGAAAGCACTTGATATCTCAAATGTGGGAGAAATGGCTTTAAAAAGCCATGCTGCAAGCATGAAGCATGTGCATTTGTGTTCGACTTACATATACCTCACAGCAATAACTGACACCATTTGTATCAATGTTTGGATTGTTGAAAATTCAAAATTCTGTGGCCATTGAAAGCTGTTAAATCACACTACTCTTTTAACTTGTATTCAGATGTCAGTCCACTATTTACTGAAATGTTCTCGGACTCAACAATTGCAAAACAGTTTTCATGTGGCGAGAGGAAATGTGCTTTCTTGTGTAATTTTGGAATAGCACCATATCTGAAATCTATTCTTAGTAAGAAAATCATTGACCAAAATGGATATGTTTTGCTCTTTGGTGAAAGCCAAAATCATAAGAACAAGTAAAAAAAAAGATGGATGTCTGTACATGGTTATGGGAATATGACAAAGTCTGTAATTATAATTGCACTACTACTACTACTAATCATATGTATTTATTTATTTTTTCTTTCACACAGTCATAGAGAAAGATAAAATACAGATAAAAGGCTAATTCTATGAGACCTGTTGCCATTTTTATTATTTCTTTCTGCAATTATTCTGCATTACATTTAGAATTTTATTAAACCACTTTATTATCGATGTATTTTAATGAAATTATTATCATCAAGCATGTTATAATTTAAAGTTTTTTGTTATTTAAGTTTTATTCTTTTATTTCGTAAAGAAACATCTAAAACAACAATTAGAAACTGCAGTTTTTGCTGTCATTTGATCCACTTTAAATGACAATTTCTCAATTTTAAGAGCTGGTAGAGAAGAAACTGTGTGGAATGTAGACACTTCCTTCAGATGGCCAAAGTACAACATACATGTGTTTTTCATTACTTTCTGAAGCTTGTTAGAATAATTTTTCCCCATAAGAAACTTGTAAATATTTTCTTAGTTCAGGTCAGCCATGCTCACTTGCAAAGTCAAATCTCTGTCAGTTTTAAGTTGAATGGCATGCTTATAGCCAATAGAAAGAGCAGATTTTGTTTTTGAAGGTCTTTACTGTAATGATAATGTTCGTGATTACTTTCATTTTTCAAACGGGATGAAATGAAGCCATGTCTATTGTTCTCTCAATGTGTCTGTAGTGCTTGGCAATTTCTTCTCACCTCATATGTATTAGTTTGAGAGACTGTTAGATTTCATTTAGGTATTACTTATATATTTTAATTAATTATGAATTATTTGTGTTTTAAAATGCATATTTGAAAGGTTTAATGATTTTTATATGTTTAACTTGTTGTTGCCTGAATTGTTAAAGCTTATAAACAAGATGGTGTGTGCACATGCCATCTTGTTTAGTCAAACGTGGGAGTCTGTGGAAGTTGGTGGATAATAACTATAAAGTCCTGAGGGCATAAATTGCCATATCAGTATAAATAATAACAGACGTAGAATTGGGAAGGAAAATTAACCTTACCGAGACAGGTCTGACGGGTCTTCCCATGGTTACAGGTCAAAAGTTGTGTCATTATGTTTGTAGACCTACATTCCAAAATTTATTGAACTATTGTTTAAGGAATGTATATCAATAAGTTTGGTATCAAATTGTAGATTATAATTCAAATTTTAGTATAATACATAAATTAATTTTTCAATTTAAAAGTACATATTAAAAACAAATCCTAGATATCAATTTTTGTGTGTCACATGGTATATTGAATGCAGCATTGGTTTAGATTAGATGTTTGTGATGTCCAAGTACAAAAATCTATAGTTTCATACAAATTAGAAACTCAAATTACCGATATTGATAACTTAGTATAGAAAATAAAAACATCCTGAGATATCAATAGATTTAGTGAATCAAACAGTGGTTCTGCCCTCCTCTTTCTTCTGTCTGTGACACATGTATAACCAATCGAAATATCAGAATGTCTTTAACCTGGTTCTCTGAGTCTTTGCAAGGTATTTATGCATTAAATCCTTTGTTTTCATGGCAGATTCCAAGTGGTAAGATCAGACATTATTGAGCTCAGAAAATCATATTTTTTGAGACCCAAATATAGCTTAGCTATTAAGTCTGATAAACTATTGTGGAATTCTGAGGTATTTATATAGTAATGTGTGATTTTTTGTTATTTAAAAATGCATATATAAGACTTAAAAAAGTTATTTTGTTTTACATTCTGCAAATGCAAAATTTGATAAGGCTTAGCAAATGGGCACGAAGTTCATAACTAGAAGAAATAATTGTTTTCTATACTTCTTTATTTACTGTTCTATGTTTTGAGAAAACTAACATAAATTTAAGAACTTATTTGTAAATAGTAATAATGTATATACATATATAATGTGTTATAACCAAAATGTGACTGTATTTTACAAAATACTGGTCCACCAGAACACAGCCAAGACAGGTCATTTTGTAAAGGCTATTTTAATATTCTTTGATACGGTAACATGAGTGCACATATGCCACATCATTGAACTTCTGTAACATTAGTCAGACACTATTGGAAGGTCAATAATTAAATTTTTATATATGTAAAATGCAATGAGATTTAATCTATTTAGACTAAACATTTGTGGTTTTGTGTTTTAATTTTTAGTAATTCTAGAATGAAAAAAGCTTAATTTATATCTATTTCCTATTTTTTATGGTGGTTATGGGGTCGGTAGAAACAACCAAACAAAGATACAATAGTAAAATAACAGATAAAATATAAGTTTTTTTTTCAAAAAAAAAGTTTGATAATTATCTGGAGGATATTAGGAGGTTATGGAGATTTCACTTGTGAAATTTGAAAATTTTCTGATGCATAAAAATATTTTTAATGTTAAAATCAAAATCACTTCGCATGTTGGATAGTCAATATTTGAAAATAAAAAATTAATTAATAATTAATTAAAAAATGTTAAACTTAATTTAAAAATTGATACTTTGTGCATGAATGCCTTGCAATGTTTACTGATAATCTGCAAAATTTTTTGAAGATATGTGTACATTTTAAAAAGTTACAGCATAACTGCTTTATGGTTACTTTTAGGAATACGGGCTGGGTGGAATTCACCCACCTGTATTAGAAGGGTTAAAAATAAACTATAAGTCAAAAGTTAAAGATCTGAAATTACACATATGAGATATAGAAGACTATTCTAGTGAATTTCTATGAAGAGTTGAAAGTATGTACGTATTTCCATTTATTAATTTTAAACGTTTCATTATGTTGTATGTTGATGATAGTTAGATATATAGTAGAGAAAATGGAGTAGATATAAACATTCACTTGTTAAAAAACTTGATATACATTTATGAGGTTTTAGAGATTATGCAAATGAAATCTGAAAATTGTTAGATAAAAAAATAAATTTTTTTTTATTTCACAGAAAAATCACTTTGCAGGTGAACCATTCAGAGTGTGAGTGCAAATAACTACATTAGA